GGCCCGGGGGGGGGGGGGGGGCCCCGGGGGGGGGGGGGGGGGGGGCCCCCCCCGCGGCCCCCCCCGGGGCCGGGGGCCCGGGGCCCCCGCCCCCCCAAAACCCCGGGCCCCCGGGGGGGCGCGCGGGGGGGGGGGGGGGGTAACGTTTTGCATGCCTTAGTTGTTAGGGCATTGACCACGCGTCCTCGAGTATGATGGCTTGCTTGGAGGCCGGGTATGGACGTCTGGTGTAAGGAAATCGATGTAGAGGTGGGTAGGTCTTGGTGTGGGGGGGTGGGATGTAGGTTGTGTTACGGTTTGCTCTGACGGGAGGAGAGAGGCGGCGTTGAGCAGCATTGTTCGAAAGTGTGTTTGGTTACTCGCAAACGTGGAATGATCGGTCTATATCCTATGCAAACGCGGAGTGTATCCTACGCAAGCATGATGCCATTATTGGTGTCAACCTACGCAAGGTACGAAGCGATTGGTGTATGGCTGAGAGCTAGCTTGGCCAACCGCTGCTCGTTGCCCATAGAGGCGGAGTGATAACGGCCGTCGATGCCAAGCCTTGCTCGTGAGCGTACCCTTGCCGCCGGGCGTCTACCTCCGATGTCGCTTGATTGAAACCCTCCTCCGTCTCGTCTGCGCTGCGCTTCTCCTCGCCACCCCCCCTCCCCTCCCCCCCCCTCCGCAGAGGTTTAACCCCAAGTTCGCATGCAAGGAGATGCGGTCGAGGCTGACGGACGGCCACCCGGAGGACCCCCTCATCATCTACGTCGGCAGGCTGGGGGCGGAGAAGCGCTTGAGGGACATTAAAGGAGTTCTCGAGAGGTAGGCTGCAGGTGGCGTGGAGTAGTTTTGCCCGATTAGCCTAGAGAAGTTATATCCGGTACTGCTGTGGTAGTGTATGGTGTCCGCCGTCCTCGGCGTGAAAGTACTGTAGTGCGGGTATTGGACGATCGGGTTGAGGTCCGAAAATAAGGTTGAAAATAAGGGCAATCTCTAAGGACAGAGGTGTTTTACCTGGTGCTTGTGCCATCGAAATACAAGACACGCGCCGGTTGCTTGCTCCAACAAGAACCCTATCGCCAGGCTGGCGTTAGTCCGATCGGGGTCGCCTACATCCCCTTACGTCCGTGTGGGCTGGAGACACTTGCCAATGAAAACACACGTCTGCTGTTTTTGCTCGGTAACAGGAATCCCAAGGCCAGGCTGGCGTTAGTCGGCAAGGGGCCGGACTCCGACGCCCTCAAGGAGCACTTCTCGGGCACCAAGACAGTGCTCACGGGGGTCATGAGCGGGGAGGCTCTGAGCCAGGCCTTCGCCTCTGCTGACGTGTTCGTAATGCCTTCGGACAGCGAAACCCTGGGCTTCGTGGTGCTGGAGTCGATGGCCAGCGGGGTCCCTGTGGTTGGGGCGAACGCGGGGGGTATCCCCGACCTCATTGAGGACGGGAAGGTGCGCCTCGGTTGTTGCGCGTGGGCGTGTTTATGGTGTTATTGTGGCTTTGTGGGTGTTTACGGCTTACGGCTACAGGTGGTGTGGGTATGGTTGTCTCTGGGTGTGTTTTTATGTTGGAGTGGTTGTGCTTGTGTTTGGTAGTGTCACATGTGTGTTGTTTTGGCTACATGTTGTGTGGTGTCTGTGTCTGTGTGTGTTTTTTGTTGTTGTAGAGGTGTTGGTGTTGGTATGCATAGTGCTGGTTTCGTTGACGGTGGTGGTGATGTTGATGTTGTTGGTGGTAGTGGCCTCGCTGACGACTGTCGACCTGGTCGGCGCTTTTTTGTGCCCCTTTCTCTATCTCCCTGTCTCGTATCTGTCGGGGTCTCTCGCTCTCTGTCTCCCGCCCCCGCCCCCCCCCCTCTCTCCTCATTTTTGTGTCGGTGTTCCTCTCTTTTGGTCGTCTTAGAAATATTACATGCATATTTATATTTATTCACAGCTAAAGACTGCTGTACCCGTTCGAGAAAAAAACGCGGTCCGTGTGTGTGCGGATGTGTGTATTGTTGTGCATTTTTGTTTCGTCAGACCGGCTACTTGGTGCCCGCGGGCGACGTGGAAGCCATGTCAGATCGCGTCAAGGCTCTGCTAGAGGACAAGGCTCTTCGTGGGAAGATGAGCAAGGCCGGGAGGGAAGAGACGGAGAGGTGGTCTTGGGAGGCGGCAACTTCGGTGTTGAGAAACGTGCAGTACCAAAAGGTGAAGAACGCCATGTTTTACTGCACTTGTTGTATTGTTGTTGTGTGTAGTGCTTGTTTTTTTTGGACTGGTGGATGTTCGACGAAGTTTTTGCCAGTCCCCCGGCCTTGACATGATAGTGGCAGCAGCACCGACAACTGCAATATGTCACCGCCTTCATGGCGTTGCGAATCAGTCTTTTTTGGACAACAACAAGTGAAGGCGGCGGCAGGGGGGTAGAGCGCAGTACAAAACAAACATGCCAATGCGATCTCGAGTCTACAGTAACAATAGAAGCCTGTCGACTCACGAGTGCTGCGGTGTACGACATGGCACCCACCCACCGCGTACCCGCAACGTTGGCGCCACCCCCCCGTTTCCTTGCATTACTATCTGTGTCGCCCCTTGATCTTGGCTTGGTTTTCTCTTCTCACGCTCTTGTCATAAACTACTGCTCTACCCCCGTACCCGCTCGTGTCCTGCTGTGCTGCTGTACTTTTGAAGACATTTTTTATTTCGCTTGGCGCGTGTGATGCATGTCTTCAAAACTAGTTTTTTTACGTGTGCTGTGGGAACCGACACGCCTCCTATAGAAGCCGAAATCAGACCATTGGACTAGTCAGCTCTGACTAGTCTAATGGTTTGATTTCGGCTTCTATACTCCTCACTAACCATTTCACATTTTTGCAAGACATACAACAACGACCACTACGTAAAAACACAGAACGACTGTAACACAGCCAAAGGCGATGTCTATGCTGAATTCTCTCAGTGAAAATAACTTTGTTCTCCCCAAAAACAAAAATTTACGAGTTCAAATACAGTACTGGGCCCTCTATAGTGCAGGTTGAATAGTGCAGGTGCCCGGTATAGTGCCGGTAATATCTCTGGACACAGGCAGCGCCCTCAATAGTGCAGGTCCTACCTGCACTATTGAGGGCGGTCCCGCTATAGTGCAGTTTGGGCACCGCGGTGCCCCGCAGTAGTGCAGGTTGGACACACACACACAAACGATAAGTGAGAACGATGACCTGCACTATTGAGGGCGGTCCCGCTATGGTGCAGGTTGGACACACACACACAAACGATAAGTGAGAACGATGGAGTTGGAAGGAAGGAGGATGGTGATGGTGAAAGCACTCCAAAACGAACTAGAGTGCAAGGTAGCAGCCTTCATCGACCCGTGCAGTCTTCTTCTGTTGCTACCGTTTCTGTCTTTGATCCGGAGAATAGCTTAGCCTCCCCCAAGCCGCCCCCTCAAGGGGCCCCAGTTAGTGGCATTAAGAAGTGTTTTTTATGTTTTCAATTGCGCTAAGACTGACGTCTTTTCGTTGGTCAGCCGGTTAGCGCGGTCGATGCTAATAACGAAAACACACACGGACAAGACAGCGGACAGACCCAACACAGAAACCAGGGTACACGTGCTGCTGCAGACCACGTGCTGCTGCAGACCCGAATAGATCTACGCAGAGGCGCACCATGCCTTGTGCGGACGGTGAACTGTGCCATCAACAAGACAGAACGCCGCAAGCCCCTCATGGCCACGTCTGCAAGGAAGGGTGTGGCGGGCGGCTCCACGGCAATTGAGGCAGCATGTTTGAGGACAACGAAAAGCGCCGCATCTGCCGCAAGTGCGTCGCCAAGGCTGGCAAGCACAAAGCGACACCAGCTGAGGGTGCTGGGGCGGGACCATCTAAACGCCCGAAGAAAACGAAGGGGGGGAGAGGAGTAAGAAGGGTTGTGGTTCTCGTGCGCGGCCGGACAACAACACGAAGCTTGAGATTCTCAAGTTGATGGATGCGCCAGGCAGACATGAGAGAATTTTTCGCGACGTAGTGAGGGCGGGGGGTACAGCGATAGCAGTAGTGGTTGTTTGTTTCCTTGCAGTGCGCTTCCTGGCGTTTTTTTTTTTTTATCTTGCAACGTCGAACGAGGGCACCGAGGACTAAGTATTAATGTTGTAGGATTGGTTCGTGCGAAAGTTCACGGTGTACAGCAGTACAGTACGAGTGCTCAGGCAGGAAGAAATTAACGGTGCAACTTGCAAGTGATTTTTATACAACATCTCTGTGTGTGCGACAGGGGGGAACCACACGCGTCGCGGGACAGTCTGCCCACGCCCACGCTAGAACAGGGCCCAGCACTACTGTAATTCGATCCATTTCGACCTCTGTAAGCCCCGCAAAGCATGAGCGCCACACCATGAAACCAAACATCTCCTCAATAGTTCCGAACCTGCACTATTGACGCACTATTCTGATAAGAGCAGGTGCCCGCTATAGTGCAGGTAAAATTTCTGGACACACCCCTGCACTATAGAGGGCCCAGTACGGTACATTTGTACTTCGAAGAAATATTTAGACGCAACATTTTTGTCTGACCTTTTCCTTTTTTTCTATATATATATATTTTTTTTTTGCTGCTTTAGGCCATCGTCAACTTCAAGTCGCGCGCTCTCGGCGGTCTGGGCAAGCCCCGATCGAGGACGAAGCTCCGCATGGCGGGATACCGCTTCCGACGATCCGTCTCGGCTGCCAAGGGCGCGGTTCTTTTCCCTTTCCGCGCGTTGAAAGCTCTTTTGGCGACGCGGAGCGAGGACGCGGTGGTTGCGACAGCAGCAAACGAGGCGTAATCAGGCCGGGCAAGCCCCTTACCGACACCGACGCTGCTGCTGCTGCTGCTGGGGCTGTTTGTGACGGTGGCTGTAATTGTGGGAAGGCTTGTCTGTTTGGAGTCGTGGCCAGGCTTCAGCAGCTGCATCTGCTGCTTCTGTTGTTTGTAGCGGTGTTTGCGATTGTGGGGAGATTGTTGGTGTCAGCTCGGGATCGGGGTTCGGCGGCTGCCGCTGCTATTGCTGCTGCTGTCCATCTCGAAAGATGCATCCTTTCTCGGAGCTTGGCCGCAAAGACATCCGCGAAGCAAAGGGCAAGAGAGAATCATCCCTTTTGTGGCTTGCTCTTGGTCTTGTCTATCGTCATGGGGTGGGATGTAGCGGCGAGCGTAAATACTCCTCCCACCCCTTGGGTCAGCAGAGAGTCATGTATTTGATTGTTGTGTGCTGCTGTAGGGCCCAAGAGTTTGAGAGGAGGGATAGAATCGTGGCAAGGAAAGCCGTGGGTAGGCACGACGGCGGCGTCCTGCCCTGAACGCGCCACCGATTGTTGGTGTTGGTTGTGTTGCGGATTTGGACTCCTGCCGCAGACAGCAGTCCGAGGGCTATAGCCTCCGGAGAAGGGGCGCGAGGCGGCGAAGCGGAGAGGATGATGGCATGGTTTTTTTTTTGTCGTTTTTTTTTTTATTGTGCTTTTCGCTCCGAGGGTGTGTGTTGCCTCTCTTTTCGACGAGATACAGCGGTACGGGTTAGAAGCAAGGAGAGGTTGGTGCCCACCGCAAAGGTGGAGAAACACACGTTGTAGATTTGTTTTTTCGAAGGCAAGCAACGGCAGGAAAACCAACTTTTTCTCTGCCGGGTTGCGCCTCTGACACGTTGACGGTGACACCGACTTGTTCAGGGTGTTTACTCCTTCACCCACTGCTGCTGCTGCTGCTTTGAGCGAGGTTTCGCGGCTGGTGTGGTAAGATAGCTCAATACGTAGCCCGGTTGTTCCAGTGGCGCGGCAGATAGCGGTTGAGGGGGGGGGGGGGGGGGGGGGG